GTTCAGGTAATAGCCACAGAGCACTCTTATCATCGAGTTATGCACAACAGACAGAATCTCAAAGCTAGAGGATGAATAGAAGGCAGTCAAGTTTGCAAGGAACTGCAGCCTGCTTTTGCAAGTAAAGGAGAGAGGGGGTGTCACTCACTCAGCAACATTCATAATTTTCTTTTAAAAGAATTGCCACAGCTGCTAGACCACCATCATGGATGGGGTTCTCTGTAACCAGGCACTTATGATGGCAGCTGTGGGCGGGCAAGTGGAGAGCGCCACTTTCCTGGAGGGCAGACCAATGGGAGACAGATCGCAGTAGATGGCCTAGTTCCCAATATGATAGGGATCCACAGATCATCTGGAAAAATCTAGTTCTTTTTTGATGATTGGCATTCATTAGCCTTTGACTTACCTAATTGACTGTGCCATGCAAAGGTGGCACCTTCTTTCCCACTGCGGGAAATGGTTCAGGGTATGGTGGTGTGCCTATAGTTCCATCCACCTATCTCTGTGCATACCCTCTTATAATCGTATACATTCTGGCCTTGGTCTTCAATTGTTTTAGGCCATTCCTATAATTGTGTGTTTTCTGACATATACATTTAGATTATCAGGAAATAGATCTATATCTTTGTTTTTTTTGACTGAACACTTCGCAAAGTGAAAGAGACTATGTACAGTATGGAAAATGTTACATTTGCAAAGAAAAAGGATCTTTTTGAACCAAAGTCACTCAGCATACAATATTTTCAGAGAGAGGTCACATGACCCAGTCTGTGACTATAGTAAAACTATTGAGTTTGAACAGTCAGATAGATAACTAGCCTGCAGCAACTGCCTTTGCCCTCTCACTCTTCTCTGAAACCATGTTCATCAACATTTGTAGGAGGCTTCATAAAGGGAGAATTCAGAATTTGCCACCATTGTCTCTCGAGTGTGTGTGTTTGCGTGCATGTGTGTCCGTGTCCACATTTGTGTGTCTCTGTGAATGCATGTGTTCATGTGCCCATGTGTGTGTGTGTGTGTGTGTGTGTTTGTCTTTCCAAAAGTGTGCTGTATAAATTCCAAGGTAACTATCTCTGTATAAATTCCTACAGTTTATACATTTGGAAGTACTGGTTGCAAGTGTGTATCCCATAAATCTAAAGTGGAGTGTTCAGAGCTGCTTTAGCAAATGGGCCATGAGTAAAAAGTTATTTTGTGTTAACTCAAATGCCTGGATTTTTGTTTTATTCATTATAGGATGTGGGCATTGTTGGATAGGGAAGTATTTACTACCCTTGAGAAGGTCATGATGAGCCCTTCTTAAACCATTGCAGTCCTTGGGGTTTAGTTGAGAAGGATATTGACCCAATGACCATGAAGGGGCAATAATATAGTTTCAAGTCAGGAAACTGCGTGGTTTGGAGGAGAACTGGGAGCCACATACCGTATATGCCCGCCTTTACCCATCATGATGCAGTCTTTGCAAATTTGGAAGGTGCTATGAAAGGAAACTTATCTGAATAATCAGAACTTTGAAACCAAAGATTGAAGAAATCCTGTTGCTGATTTCGACCTGTGTTTCTTTATCCCAGTATTTTCTTATATGAAGCACCTTGGAACGTCACCAGGAGGATCTGCTGAGCTCAGCACTCTTAATCTATCTGTTTTTACCTTTGTTGATCTGACTCCCCTGCAGCTCAGTGATGCTTTAGGTAATGACAGTTTTTAAGTGCTAATGAATAAAACATTTCGATGATTCCCCTGTCTGCACCAAACTCCCTCGGCTGACTTTTGGAATTGAGGTATTGCTGCATTTTTATGACCCCCTTGTTCAGGTTAGCATTCTATTTTAGATTTGGTGCTTCAGCAAATCAGTGATCTCAGCTCCTTTTCATTTTATACTCCTGGGATTAATGTATGTATATTTGTGTTCTTTTTTTGATGATTTAAGACCTCGGCTTAAGTCTTTCTTTCTCACTATACCATTTCTTCGTTTTGCCAAGGTATGTGCAATCACTGAACAATGCAGAAGACCAATTATTCCAACTCCAGTGCTGTCCCTCAAGGCACGGGCAAGTGCAGTGTACCATACAATGGATAGTCAGTTATTTCTAAATCTTGCATGATTTCTCTCTTCCTAACATTAATATCCTTGTTAGCTCTTCAAAGATATGGAGCTCCTTAAATAGCACCCCCAAGCTTTTCTTCCAACCTATAAACATACAATCTTTTAAAGCCTAATTCACATCAATCAATTTATACTTGCCGATCTATGTAATCTCCCTTGACGCTTACTTTCAATTTGGGCCTGATCCTGTGTCCAAGTATCTCAAGGTGAACAATATTAGTCTAAGGTAAATCTTTTTTCCCTAGAGAGAAGCAACAGGTTTTCTGCATTTGCAGCTTCCACTACAAAATATCATGCAGGCTGTTGTGTATACTGGTAGTGTCCCTACCTCTGAGCCATGAGACCTGAGTTCAAGTCCCACCTACTCCAGAGGTGTATAATAACATCTCTGAACAGGTTAACTAGAAAAATAGGCTAAGCAAAATAAAGTAGAAAATATCATGCAAGCTGCTGTGTATACTGGAGTATCCCTACCTCTGAGCCAGGAGACCTGGGTTCAAGTCCCACCTGCTGCAGTAGTGTGTAATAATGCCTCTGAACAGTTTGGTTAGAAAATACCTTGCAAGTAACACAGCTGAGGTTAGAAGCTGGACAGGCCAATGTTTTTTCCTTCCTTTCCATTCATTATCATTGTGTGATTTCAGTTCATTTGATACAGAAAACACCACTCCACTGTTTTTTTCCATTTCTCACTGATTTCTTCATCCGTTTTGTTTTAAAATATTCCTTTCGCTTTGCAATCAATATAGCACCATTGCTTTTTTTATATATTTATAGAGTTATAAACTATCCCAATCCAGTTAAGCATGAAATCAGTCACCAACACCTTTTTTTTTGATAATGGATTTATTGACAAGATGCAGCAATACAAATGTCTGCTGTCTTTGTACCAGCTCTGTGGTTCAGCAGTCCCTTTTTCTAAGTGTTCTAATTAATTAATGAATTACTTAATGCCCTTTACTTCTGCATCTTAACAGCACAATTCACATATTTTCTGCGTTGTGAAGGCAGGAATTTGTGGATAATCAAGCCCAAATATGCCACTGGTTACACCATTTGTGTAAATTTGGATAATCAAGCCCAAATATGCCACTGGTTACACCATTTGTGTAAATATGTTGATTCAATTACTAAAATGGCCAATTGCTTCTCCTTAGTACCACTATAAAAGATAAAAGAAATGGGTTTCTTTAATGAACTCAAAATAATCTACTTATTATGAACAAGATCATTCTTAAAACAAGTGTCAAACTCTGATCAACACCCAAGCTAGAATCCAGAATTAGAAGTATATTACCTTAATCCCACATACAGATATGCTCACACAACACAAAAGACAAATCTCTGCAGAATTTTTTTAAATAAATGGCAACGTGCAAACGAAAGAAAACAATCCCATCAGGTCAAAGGATAAAATGTGATGATTTGTCACATCTGTAGAATTTTCAGTTGATAAAGCTGAATCTGTTGACAATTAGTGATAGATGACCATTTCTGATTCCACCCAACTTGAATTTGAGTTTCTGAGAATTGGACATGGCCCACTACATAGGGCTTTGCCAGGTAGACAGAAATACTGCTGTTTTGAAAATCTAACAGGAACTTAAGAAACAGGATTTCAGGAGAGGATCTCACAGTTTCAAAGATGTCATCTTCTGATAGCTGGGTCTGTGGAACAGAACTTTAATTCTGGAGAGAGTTCTTAATCAATCATTGGCGTAGGGACACCTATACCTCTCAAAACCACGTTTTTCAATAATTAAGAAATAAATCCCATCTCTTATCTACTTGAAAGGTTTGCTTAGCTATTTCTCAAGTCACTTGATTTCCAGTAAAATGAAGGGTAGCTTACAGAACACATTAAACCGTGGATGTCAGTCTATAAGAAATCACATGGTAACATTTTACATGTCCAAATTGTTCAAATTCTTCTCAGTTTTTTTCAGAATATAAATGAGTTTTTTTTAAATTAACATAAACTTGTGATGTATCAGTCCCTGTTAGAGCATGTTGAGCTCTGATGTTCTGGATCCTTTGCATCCTCCTCAGTAATGCAGCTATGTACACTGCCCACCCTCCCATCTTTTTGTAAGCATACTGTATATGCTGTTTATTTATCATGTAACATTCCAGCTTTATTGATTTGATTTGATTTATTATTGTCACATGTATCTAAATACACGGAAAAGATTTGTTTTGCATGCAATACAGGCATATCATACCATACAAAGTGCATAAGGGCAATAGAACACAGTGAAAGTTACAATATTACGGATGCAGAGAAGGTGCATAAAGAGCGAGGTCAACATTACATTTGAAATTTGAAAGGTCCGTTCAGAAGTCTAATAAAAGCAGAGAAGAACCATTCTTGAATCTGTTGGTCTGTGTGTGTCTAGCTTGGATTTAATTACTGTTAAAGATTTATTTATTTTCACATATGAATTAAAAAGACACCTCTCTACACCCCTCATGATTTTATGAACGTCTACAAGGTCACCTCTCAACCTCCTACACTTAACTCATATGTGAAAATAAATAAATCTTTAACAGTAATTAAATCCAAGCTAAAGTTCACTTTGTGATATTGAGGTGAAACCAAACTGATATTGGTACAATGAGCTTCCAGTTTAGAGTTTTAAGAACAAAAGACTAGTGTATACCCTGAGTACAATTTTCTAAAGATGTCAATGACTGAGGCCAAGATGTATGTTAGTTGATGCTTGCTAATTTGCTTTATTGATCATACCATGGTCAAACCGGAATATCAAATTGGATTTTTAATTTTGTCATATTCTGTGAAACTAATTATTACTGTTAGGTTTATTTCAATAACCCAGATGATGCAGGCACCGTGTATAATTTGTATTGTATCTTTCATTGTTTTATTTTGAAGATAAATCCCACCATCCAGAGTGTTTGCTTGGGAGAGAATAACGTGATTGAGGAGGAGTTAAAAGCAAATGGCAATGTCACCGAGTGGGCAGGAGGTGGAGGAGGAGGTGGAGGAGCCACGTTTATCTTCAAGGTGTGTATTTATGATGGCTTGATTCTTTCTTGTAAAAAAGGCATCGACCATCTTATCAATTAACCTTATACATTTATCAAAATGAGCAAGAATCACAGAATCGCAGAAACTACAGCTTGGAAAGAGACCATTCAGTCCGTTATGTCTGTGCCAGTGACAGTAGCAATCCAGCCCAAACCCGTTTTCTAGCTTCGGTACTACCTTTGTATATTACTGCACTTTACGTATACATGCAAGTTCAAAATCCCAGTTATCAAACAGCCTTAAATGATATGTTATTTTTAATGCCACGTTCTATTTCATGGAGGGTTCTGTAAATATTAGAGAATAGTGACAAATGTTTCCTTTCTTCTCAGACAGAGAACATGTTTGACTCTACATTTGCACTAAACTATGTAATTCCAGTTGTCTTAATCAGGAAACAGGAGAATCATAAAAGCTAGTGTGTAAGAGTAGGGCAAGTGCTAGAGAATTAGAATGCCTGGCACAGATCCATATTGTCAGAACTATGGCACTTTACTGCTGACTTTACTGCTGAGGCTCGTTAGAAAAGCCTAAACCGTTCTTCCTGATAAGAAGTGTTATTACAAGTGATTTAAATGAAGCTATTGCAGCTTTCAGATCTTCAAGTGATATTCTCTTGGGTTTAGTGTTACTGATCACTCCTACTTCCCGTATACTCCAAAAACAACTTCTGCCACTGGTATCGAATTATGCAATATAATGACACAAGGACTGTAACAATGAGATCCTTCCTTGCTTGAACTGGGTAAAGTCAGAAATCACACAACACCAGGTTATAGTCCAACAGGTTTATTTGAAATCACAAGGTTTCGGAGCCTCAGTCCTTCGTCAGCTGTTAGTGAGAGAGGTAGTATCAGACACAGAATTTGTAAGTAAAAGATCGAAGGTTTACACCATTGATGAGGATGTATTAAACAAACCTAAGATGCTGTTAAATCTTTAATCAGTTAGAAGGTTTTAATTGATTAAGACTATAACCTGATGTCCTAAGATTTCTGACTTTGTCCACCCAAATCCAACACCGGCACCCCCACATTATGAGGTGGGTAAGACCATACACCATAAGATGTAGGAGCACAAATCGGCCAACCGGTTAATCTAGTCTTCTCTGCAACTTAATGATGATCCTCAGTTCCATTTTCCTGCCTTTCCTCAAAACCCTTGATCCCCTTACTGAAGAAAAACCTGTCTATCTCACATTGAATATTTTTAACACTCAGCCTTGATAGTTGTCTACCATAAAGAACACAGCGGATCCACCATCTTCTGAGAGAAGGAACTCCTCATCATCTTTAACAGGTTTTAATGGGTGACCCCTTACTCTGAGATTATGCTCTCTGGTCCAGCACTCCTCCAAAAGCAATGATTGTCTCAAGTTCTCTAAGAATCTTGTATGTTTCAGTAAAGTCCCATCTAATTCTTCTAAGATCCAATGAGTACAAGACCAACTTACTGAACCTCTTACAATCATAGAGTCATAGAGCCTGGAAACAGATCCTTCAGACCAACCAGTCCATGCTAAACATAATCCCAAACTAAACTAGTCCCATTTGCCTGCTCCAGGCCCATATCCCTCCAAACCTTTCTTATTCATGTACTTATCCAAATGTCTTTTAAATGTTGTAATTGTACACACATCCACCACTTCCTCAGGAAGTTCATTCCACACTCAAACCACCCTCTTCTATATCCAGATTCAATCCAGTGAACTTCACCAAACTGCCTTCAAAGCCAATTTGTCTTTCCTTAGATAAGGGACCAAAAATTGTCCACAGTATTCCAGCTGTAGTCTGCCTTATACAGTTTTAGCAAGACCACTCCATGGTTATACTCCATTCATGTTGAAATAAAGGCCCCATCCTGTTTGCCTTCCTTATCACCCACTAAACATGTGATTCATGCATGAGGACCCCAAATCTCTCCATGCTGCAGCTTTCTACAGTCTTTCTCCACTTAAATAATATTCACCTCTTCTATTCTTCCTGCTAAGGTGCACAACCTCAAGTTCTTCCGCATTATATTTCATCTGCCATGTTTTTGACTACTGACTTAACTTGCCTATATCCCTCTGCAGTTTCTTTGTGTCATCTTCACCAGTTGCCTTCCCACTTACGTTTGTGTCCTCCTCAAACTTGGCAATAGTACATTCACTTCTGTCATCCAAGTCAATAATGTATTATGATGACCCCAGCTAATGTTATAACAGACAAGTCAGATCCCAGAAAGGAACTCAATTTGATAAATAATACTTTTATTAGCTATGATTTTAATGAAGTGATCTCTTGCTGAAACGTAAGCATGAAATGCTGCAGATTTTGTTTTAACAATAAAGCAGATGTTTATACCAATAAAAAGAATAATCTGAATTATCTATTTATAACACAAACTCAAAGGTTTTAAACACACAGAAGAAGTATAATCCTATTAATCCCAAAATACTTCTTTATAAATTGCAAAGAAATAAAATAGTTTAAATATATTTCCCAAAACACTACTCCAGGTAAAGTTCCCAAAAACGCCATTCGTAAAATACTTCCAATGGTATCCCTGTATTTAACAGCTTGGTTGGTTTAAGTCACTTGGGGCTTCAGTTGTTAAACTGAAACTGCAATTGCTTCTTCATGGAACTATCCTACACTTCAGCTTCATTGAACTTCCAGGTCTTCGTCCAATCTGAACCAACACTAAGTCTTCACTCCAAGGACCTGACCCAGTATGTCCTTTTCTTCTCAAAAGCACTGCTCTGAACAACCATCCTGTTCCAAGATCTTCACAGGGACTAATACACTACCCAAATGTAAAAACAAAACTAAAAGTCTCTGATCATGGATATTTCCCCTCACCTTAAAAAAACAGATTCCAAATTCTCCAAGAAACCTTTGAGCCCCAATTATTTATCATGCTTGCTCAAAACAATCTGAAGTGAACAGAAGTCCTTTAGTGTACAAATGCATTCACCCTACAGCCAAGCTTCAAAATTGTTCTTACTTACAAATTAACAAAAACTTCAGACACGCAGAAAAATCCGTCGGTTATAAATGCAAAAACCAGACCGAAACTAGTATCATTAAAATTATTTAAAAAGTCAGTGCAGGGAAGGGTACAGAATTGGCTATGGACAGAAAACAGAATGAGTGGTGAATAATTATTTTTCAGACTTGTTCGAGCTATACATTAACATTTCTCTGCAATGGTATTAGGCCACTTTTTTTGATGTACATTAATGACTAAGACTCTATTAAACAAGGCACAATTTCAAAATTTGTATATGACACAGAAGTTCGAAATGTAGCAAAATCATGAGGAGTGTGGGGGAACATAGAATGGAAAATGGGAAGTAATATGCAAGTTGCTAGGACCAACGGTGAGATATTTTGATAAAAGAATGAGGGAAGACAGTAGATTTAGATTTAGATTTTATTGCCACATGTATTCAGGTGCAGGGGCACAGGAGTACAGTGAAAAGTATGCAATGTTGTAATTCACAGCGCCACCTTAGGTACAAACTCTTAGCTACAAAGTTAAATAAAAAGTTAAAAAGTTCATCACCGTAGTTCGTCTTAGTATAAAGTAGAAAAGAATGCAGAAATAAAGTTTGAAGTTAAACATTGAGTAGTCTTTCTCTAAGCCATGAGCTTACAGATGCTCCACGCTGGACTTAATCTCCCCTGAGCCAGGCATGTTTTTCACTAAAACTTGTCTAAGTTCTGCCCAGGCTCACCAGCCGCTACTCCGCCAACTGCCATTTGGCCACTGACCGCCATGCAGGCTCATGCTGGGTCCCTGTACCATACTCTGTTGCCACTGCTGCCTCCATGGCTGAACTCTCTCCAGAAGGTTTAAAATTAAATATGAGAAAAAGAAAAAAAAGGAAAAAAACAAGATAAGCAGGAAAAAAAGCAGACGGAATGGCCGAGGCCCAGGCTCAACAGCCCAGACGCCGCCTACTCTGCCTCTGTACCTTGGATGAGTGTGAGCTAAATGGTACAATTTTAAAAGGAATGTGAGAACAGAGGCCTGAAATGTACACAGATCTTTGCAGGTCGCACCAAAGTTATGAAGTCTGCTGAGAATTATGGGATCGTTGCTTAATTAATTGAGACATGGGACCAGTAAAATGTGAACAGAGTAGATTAGAATAGCAATTTATTGTCAGTTGTATTTATGAAAATGCAGTGAGATGTGTATAAGTCACCACAACTTGATACCTTTTAATTACAGAAGTTATTAGAAGAAATAATTCAGACAAAGTTAGGACAAAGTTCATTTTTTGTTCTCTCTTATGGCAATCTGGGTTTATGGTGCGGCTACAGGATGCCACCACCGAAGCCACCCCTGCAAGGTGTTCTGGACTGGACCAACCACACTGCCACCGCCAAAGTCGACATTGAGGCCACTGCATTGTCGCAGTAGCAAGGAGGGACAGACTGGACCCACCAAGCTGTCAACGCTGAAGCCATTGCCACTTCAGTCACCGCTCAAAACTGCCACATTGTTGCCATAGTGACGAGGAACGAACCAGAACCACCATGCTGCCACTGCTATATCCATCGCTGAACCCGCCGCACCACCACCAGCAGGAATGGACCAGACCCCACCAGTGATGACATCTTAGATAAAGCCGTGGCCACTCTGGCCATGAAGAGCAGAAATCTGGATCCACCACATTGCTGATGCTGCCGCAGATCCTCACCTTCCCCCTTCGCAGCCACAGAAAAGATGAAGTTTGAGAGAAACAAAACAAAAGAACAAAGAAGAATGTGGCCAGCCAGGTGAGCAGGAGCGTATGGGCATGCAGCCCGAACACTTCCTACCTTGCCAGCACCGCCATCTTAATAATGGGTCAAGCCATTTTGCAGTTTGCAAAATATGAGACGATTTCCAATACCAATTCCTCCATATTTTCAATTCAGAAGGTCATGGGTGGCTGGGATAGGGATTTGCAAATCTTGACATAGTGTGAGAACTGTGTGGAGGTGCAAGTGGGCTGGGTGTGGTGGAGATGGAGAAAATTCAAATTTCCTTTAGGTTTTACAATGGTTTTCCCAATATCAGTGGACGTCTTTGCAGAGTCACAACCCAATGTCTTCCTGGCCACGAATAGACCATGTGAAATTGTTGCAAACTTGGGAAGGGAGAGGTGATCTTATTGTTCTCAAACTCTGAAAGATTTCAGATTCCCTGACCCCATTTCTACCTCTGCTCTGGCCATGCGTATAAAAGCAAAACATAGAATATAAAAAGAAGTTATGCCAAGATCCCTAAAAGAACCTGACAGGACTTAGTCAGAGTATTGTTTTTCATTGTGGGAACCACACTTCAGGAAGGAGGCAAAGCCTTAGAGAGAGTGCAGGGAAGATTTACTAGAATGGAACCAGAGATTCTGTTCAAAATTATGAATTATTCAAATTATGGTTTTGATAAACTTAACTGAAAGATTATAGGAGTTTTGAGGACAATTACTCACATCCAGAGGGTGATGCGGGTCTGGGACAACTGTGGGAAAGAGCAGTAGAGGCAGAAACCCTCACCGCATTTAGCAAGATTCTTCGATATGTTCCATAATCTACTGAGCTACAAGCCAAGAACTGAAAAGTAGAATTAGGCTGTAAAACTCATTTTAGGCTGGCACACACATGATAAGCTGAATGGTCTCCTGTTTTGTAAATTGCCTCATTTAATTGTGCTTGTATTGTGCTTGCATCCTTAACAGATGGATAATGGAGAACCAATACCACTGCTGATAGCAGCGGGTGGAGGTGGCAAAGCCTATCTGAGTAAAGATGCCGGTTTCCCAGAAGAGATGCTAGAAACGGATTCCTCTGTTCTGGGTGTGAATGGGAGGTCGGGTGCTGCCGGTGAGTTAGATCCTTAAACAGCTTCTTTTGGTGTTCTATTTTTGTATCAATTGCAAATTTTGTTACCATTGTCCTATACCATATATTTCAGAAGGGAATTTATATTGACGACTTGAATGCTACAATGCGCTCATAAACCTGAAACACCAGGACCTCTCGGCAGCCATCCCTTTAAGAAAACAAAAGAAATCAAGTATATAATTTTTTTTCGTTTTTATAGAAAAAGACAAGCATTAAACAAAGACAGGGGTATCCTTGTTTATATTTTGACTTTCTCCCATATTGGCCCATGCATGTCACCCAATTAAGAGTAAAAATTATAATTTAATCACAAGTATAAAACTGGATTCTGTTTTTCTCTTTATAGTTATTCCAACAACTGGAATATTCTTGACTTTAACTCAATGCACCTGAATCAATTCCACTAAGATGTTGCTTCTGAATGAAATCAGCCACAAAGAGTAGAAGGCTTGGATTTTCATTTTCTCTAAATTTGTGTTTGCCTTAGGTTTCACAGGCATTTACCACAAGTCACAACATTACTCAAGTAATCGTTTTTCATGAACAAACAATGAAAGGCACTACCTTTGTACGTAATCCTGTCCCTACTCAATGTCCCCATAGATTCACTTTTTATCAAAAGTTAGAATTTGAAGGGGGACAAATTTGTTTGCCTTTTTTCGCTCCCTTTAATGCAAGCCCCTCTAACTTTTGTTTACATGGGCCTTAGGCTCAATTGAAGAAGTGTTTCACTTGTTATCAAAGGACTTGCTGAAATGTTCTTATATTGTGGGGATAACATGACCTTGCAAAGCAATCACACTGTAAAGTTCCTTAATTTATGAAGCCTCAAATCCTTCAGCCTTTAGCTTTATTGATCTCCTTATAATTACTTCAAGTAGATTGCTGACACATTGGTGTTGTATCCCATTTCACCAATTCACATCCAATTTAGAATGTCACAAACAGTCTCTCTACAAACTACTCTTCAGATATTATCTTTGATATGCCATTAACACTGGAAATCACAGGTAATTTAACTAAAACTACCACAGCATAATATTTATGTTTTATTGTCTCAAATACAATTTGTAGATGTTACTTAAGATGACTTAAAGTAATGTGTAATCTATGTAACTAATCAGCTCTTAGTCAATGGCCTCGGTATAAACTCAGCTCTGTCTTTCATTCTGTGAATGATTGCAGTGGACCATTGAGATGACAAATTAGAACAATGAACCCTGAACCAGGTGACCTGGACATAAATTAGAGAACCTGCTGATTTTTCAGCGCTGTTTTCACCACATTACAGTGTTGCTAATTGCAACTAGCCACAGTGTAATGCAGATGATGAGTGATTAGTTGCTGGAAGCTTGGGAGAATTGAAATAAGATCATAGTTTTGATATCAGGTGACCACAAAGCAGCATTAGAAAAGGTTGTGTAATTATTGAGATTCTAATTGAATCAGGGAAAGAAGGCCATTAGACGCAGCAAGTACACACCTTTCCTATAGACGAAATTCATTGCCCCACCTTCTTGGCACATCCTTCAATGCCTTTACTTTTAAATAGCCTCTTGTATCCATTTATACCATTTGTTTCGATAGCTTATGCTGATAACTTACTTACTCCACAAACTCAAACTTCTCAATGCAAAAACTGTTATTCTTTGTTTTCTTTCTTATTTATTTCTTACCAATTTATAACTTGTGTTTGTTGGATTAACATACTAAGCTATGTAGGAATGTAAGCTGTCAGGAGAATACAAAGAGGCTAAAAACATACAGACAGTTTATGCAAGTGGAGAACAGGCAAGCAAACTGAGTTTAAGCTAAAGTGTGAGCTTATTCACTTTGGTAATAAGAATGGAAAGACAGAATGTGTTCTAAAAGAATTGGAATTTTTAATTGTTGATGTGCAGAATGATTTTCCTTTTATTTGTACAAAGGGCACTTAGAAGTAGGTTGGAGTCACAATTGAAGGTAGATGCACCAAAAATTTCATAACTGTCATATGAATTCAGTGCCAGGATCTTGATCACAAATCATTTTTGGAGAGGTCAGATCAAGTTCAGATTGACTTCCAGTTGACAAGTAGCAGGTTGCTAATTTATGGCAATTAAGCCTCCTTGTTATCTAAAAACAGTGTGGCAAGGGCTTTTGTGGCACAATGGTAGTATCTCCACTCCTGAGCCAGGAGGCCTCGGTTCAAGCTCCATCTGTTCTAGAGGTGTGTAATAATATCTCTGAACATATTGATTAGAAAAACAGGTTAAATTAAGAATAATTGTAAAGATCCAAGAACAGTGCCTATTCTCCAGATATTTTAAAGTAGTAGGGCTGTTGTGATGCTGTGGTACTGTCCCTACCTACGTCATAACATCTCTGAATAGGTTGATCAAAAAATATCTGCTCAAAGTTAGTGTATCCTCTACTACTAATTACTCAAAACAAAAACAAAGGAGCATTGGTGGCACTATCTACCTCAAATAACTTCTTTCCCAGTACCATATCCTGGTGGAGGTTGCAAGTACCACAAGGTGCCAGCAGTGCCCATCTGGGACACACCTTAACATGAAGGATCCTTCACCAACAGCAGGGCCACCAGGCCCTAGCTGCAGACACTTGTGAAGCATGCTCGCGCTCTCCATCGCCAATCGCCAGCAGCCAGCTCAGCCAATGGGATTGCTGATGTGTCAGTGTTGGAGCATATCCCTTTAACCCTTTACTTATTTTCCTCATTGGACAACAAAGCACATTCCCCTTGCATTAACTGGTTTGGCCGATTTAGGACAGACGTGTCTGGAAATCCCAGAACTGGCCCCAACTTTAGCTTCGCGACCTGGAAAGAAAATTCCAGTCAGAAAGGTAACGAGAAAGTACAGCAAGCAACAAAAAGAAAGAATTGTTTTGATCTAATGATGTTTTTTCCCCAGTCTTAAAGTGCATCTGTACTGTTTTGCAAAGTATGCACTTGTAATGTAGGAAATATAGCAGTCATTTTGTGGAAGCAGAGCATTGACTATTTTGAGGCAGAGGTAGATAGATTCATTATGAGCAAGAGAGTGAATAGTTATAGGGGTTAGGTGTGAATGTGGTGTTGAGGTTGCACTCAGATCAAGGTAAAGGTTAAGTCATCATAGTCCCACTCTGTCATTAGACAGAGAGAGAGAACTATTGGTGGTGTAACCTGAGGGTCACCACACCTCAGGCAAGGGGGAAAGGTAACGTCAGTTGGTGCTGGAATTGAACCCAGGCTGTTTGGCACCGTTGCACATCACAAACTAGCCATCCAATTGAGCTAAGCAACCCTTAACCTGTGACTGCATTGAATAGCAGAGCAAACATGAGTGGTGGAGTATCCTGTTTCTAATTCATTTATTTGTGCAAATAAGAATGCAATAATGACCAGATAATCTGTGTTTTAAGATGTCTATTGAGGGACAAGCATTAATTAAGATAGTGGGATAAACTCCCTACTCTTCTTTTAAAGAGTGCAATGGGATCTGAAAGGACAGACAAAGCCTTGATTTAATATTTCCTTTGATTTAATGTCTCACCTTGAACAATCCGTTAGTTGTATGAGAATGTCAATTGCTACAAATCTTAAACCCAAAACCATCTGATTCGTGTATGTCGTGTGTGCAACAATTAAGTTATGTATGACACATAAAAGCAAGTTGGAATGTAGCCTTTATTGCAAGGGACTCGAGTTTAAGGACAAGGTAGTCTTTCTATAATTATATAGGGTTTTGGTGAGACGACATCTAAAGTACTGTGCACTATTTTGGTCTCCATTCAAGAGGTGATAGAAAAGAGAAATGTAGCTGAAATCAGGGATAGGATATTCAGGGGAATAGACACTGTTCTTTGTGGTCAGGACCAAAAGTCCCAAAGGCTGTGCTGCTTGCCTGGTATCTGGCTTCTTGATATCTCATCTGGGCTACAAAGGAACTTGGAGTGGAATGGGAAAGATCCAGCTGTTGTGATCCACATAGGTACCAATGATATAGGTAGAGAGAGCAAAAATGTTCTGCGAGGGAGTATGAGCAGCCAGGGGGGCTAAATTAAAAAGCATAAAGGCAATAAACTCTGGATCACTACCTGAGCTAATTGGCGCAGGATCAACAAGATTAAAGCGGTAAATGTGTGCCTCAAAGATTGGTGTGGGAGAAATGGTTTCGAACTCATGGAACTTTGGCACCAGTACTGGTGAAGGAGGGAGCTGTTCCAATAGGATAGGTTCAACTTGAATTGATTGATTGCTTGATTGATTTGGTTTATTGTCACATGTACCTAATTATAATAAAAAGCTCTGTTTGCAAGCAGTACAGGCAGATCATAGTAAGCAAGGACATATGAATCATAGGGTGAAAAAAACTCAGACAGAGTAAGGAACAGACATAGAATTTAAGTTTAAAAGTGTAGAATAGTAATAAGGAATATTAGAGTTAGGTCTGCTGTAGGGAGCCTGCAAGGAGTTGCCTAGTGTTGGTGCTATCTTGTTTCTATCGGGGGGACAATCACACTGGGGGACCAGAGTCCTGGCAAATTAGCACTGTTAATAAGGCTTTAAACTATGTAGTGTGTGTGTGTGTTTGTGTGTGTGTGTCGGGGGGTGCAGTGGGTTGCATGGAAAGCTATGAAAAAGAATGAGGGTAAGCTAACAAGTAATTTAGAAAAAAGTTGCAAGAGTTCTTTTTAGATATAAATAAGTGACAGAAAAGCAAGAGTGGACATTGGACCACTGGAAACTGAGGCTGGAGAAGTAATAATGGGCGACAAAGAAATGGCAGAGGAAGACACCAGTAGTATACCAGAACTTTTAAAGAGATGGGGCAAAGGTGAATATAGTGGCCATCACTAAGGATAAGTTGCTGGAAAGCTGAAAGGTCTGAAAATGGATACATCACTGGACCAGATAGTCTACCATTCCAGGATTCAGAAGGAAACAGCTGAGAAGATTGTGGAGGCATTGGTGGCGATCTTTCAAGAGTCAC